TGTGAAATACTGGATCTTTGCTGTGCCTCTCAAAAGTTTGGTTTCCCCATTGAGCCCTTAAGCTGCCTTACTTTGTCAGGATCCATCCTGTCTTTCTCCTCCGTCAGAAAAGGAGAGTAGTAGCAACTTAATTTCTCCCAGTGTTGCCACCATAAACTTCCTGCGCACGTGTTCCACATTGCTGATAACCCCTTTACCTTCAGATAGCCAGCTCGATGTTGTCCAAGAAACGCAGAGTGTCTGGACCAGACCCGGAGGTGGATTCTTACTCGTCTCCTACACCCCCTGGGTCAACCAAAGTGAGTATCTGACTTTACAGGCTTTCAGGATGGAAACAATAGGTGGAGGGTGGTAAAGTACCTCATATTTTTTTCACATGGCCAGCCCCCATTACCCTTATCTCTCCTGGAACTCCGTGTTGATTTTTAGGGAACGTCAGAAGACAAGGACATGGACATCGATGAAAGCCTCTACTCGTCAGCTGTGAGTAGTATCCTAGGGCAGGAGATGCAGAGTGGAAGGAGACAGGGTGGGTCAGGCCCTAACGTGGAGTTCTTTGCCGACAGATATGTACTAGGTCATGAGGCAATGAAGCACCTCCAGAATTTCAGTGTACTGATATCAGGCCTGCGAGGTCTGGGTGTGGAAATTGCCAAGAATATCATCCTTGGTGGGGTCAAGGCTGTCACTCTCCATGACCAGGGCACTGCCCAGTGGGCTGATCTTTCTTCCCAGGTATCTCGTTTTGGCTTCTCCTTGTCTAGGTCCCAGCTTGTGCACTGCCTGTGTTTTCAGCACTGTCATCCTCCATCCTTTCTGTAGTTCTACCTGCGTGAGGAAGATATTGGCAAAAACCGAGCTGAGATATCCCAAGCTCGCCTTGCGGAACTCAACAGTTACGTGCCTGTGCATACCTACACTGGAGCCCTAGTCGAGGACTTCCTGAGTGGTTTTCAGGTATCCCCAATCTTCCTGCCTTTTTCTTTCAGCTTTGTTGTCATTTGGGCGGCCTCGGTGTGTCAGACTTTGTGCTGGGAAACTAGGAGGTGAAGGCAGTAGTTAGAGCTCCCCAGAGGGGCAGATTCGCTTGTACAAGGGCTCTGAAACAAAGCACCTGCATGTGTAATTCTCAAGCCTTGCACAAGCAGGTGTAATGAGAGGAAACTCAGGCTGACTGGGTTGTCAACTGTCGCTGTGTATACCCTGGCTGTAGGTAAATTAACTTAGCCAGCTCAGACCTCGTACGTGCAGCACTACTATTATATTTGTTGTGTTTGGGAGTGTGTTTTTTAAAGCTTTTCTCTGTCCCTTGAGTGTGTCACCCTTGAGACTTGTGTGTTCACATGGAGAAGGCTGAGCCCGACAAGCGTGGGTGTTGTTTTCTTCCCCCTTCTCCTTCAACCTTGTCAGCTTTTATGTTTCATTCTCTCCCTCCACCCCAAGCCTGAGCCTGTTGGTCTTTACAGGTGGTGGTTCTTACCAATACTGCTTTAGAATATCAGCTGCAGGTGGGTGAGTTCTGTCATAGCCGTGGAATCAAGCTGGTGGTGGCAGACACTCGGGGCCTAGTTGGGTGAGTTCTTGCCTCTTCCTTGTCTGACTTCCACTGGATGTGGGCGGGCGGGGTGTCTTCCCAAGCCTTCAGGTCCTCCTCCACCAAACACATCTGCATTAAGCTTTTGCTTTGTTTTGCTTTGCTTTGCTTTTCCTGTGCGGTATGAGCATCATCTGATCTGCTCCAGTACCTTGAGAGCTGGAAGGCCCTGTGCTTAGTCCAAAGCTCCTCTCCTGTTGCCTCCCTCCCTAGACAACTGTTCTGTGATTTTGGAGAGGAAATGATTCTCACTGATTCAAATGGGGAACAGCCACTCAGTGCCATGGTTTCCATGATCACCAAGGTAAAAGGACGCCAGCCCCATAGGTTCTAATGCGGAACTGGGTGGTAATTGTCCTTTCTTTTCTCTGCTTTTCCTATTTTCTGCACGCCTTCCGTTTTCTCTCCCCTCTCCTCCCTTTCTTTCTTTTCTTGACGTTTCCTTTTCCTGTCCCTCTCATTTCATCATTCTTTCCGCACCCCAGCCCCTCCCACCCAGCCCTCCCCCCCTTCAACCCCCCACCCCCACCCCCTCCTGACTGTTGAACTAGGGGCCTGTCACTAAAACAGTTGAGTAGCCTGCCACCCAGGTAATACTGTTAGCCACTAGTTGACCTTACTTGCTGTCAGCATGCCCTAGCCTGCAAATCCTGCTTGCTGTTTGCTTTGTTTTTGTTGTTTTGTTTGTGTTTTTGTTTGAGACATTCTCAGTAATGTAGCTGAGGCTAGCCTTGACTAGAGGGTGACCTTGCTGCCTTTGCGTCCTTAGAGTTGTGACTAGGAGCATGCTGCTTAACTCTTACTTTTCTTTCCGAATCAGGAGAGTCCGGGAGTCGTCACCTGCTTGGAGGAATCCCATCACGGATTTGAGAGTGGTGACTTTGTCTGTTTCACAGAAGTTCAGGGCATGAGTGAACTCAATGGCATCGGTCCCATAGAGATCAAAGTTCTGGGTATGGCAAGCCCAGGGAAGGAGGTTGAGAAGTGGTAGTACAGAACAAAGGGAAAAGTGGCTCTCTGTGATATGGGCTGTCTCCGAAGCCAGGAGATCCACTGTAGAGCTTGCCAGGTACACTGGGCTTATCTCAGACTCAGCATTGACTTACCTCTGCCTGCCCCCAGAGTGCTGCGATTGAAGCCATGTGCCACCTGGTGAAACACTGCCTTTAACTTGTGCCACCCCCGCCACAGCCCTCCCCCATTGTTGCACTGCTGTTTGTCAGACAGCCCAATCATTCTTGGGTTTACTCCCTTTTGATTTTCTGGGATGTAGCTTAGGCAAATCCTTCCTAGTACATAAGGCCGGTAAACTAGGTTCTGATACACTAGGGCCTGGAAGGATGGCTCAGTTGTCAAAGAGTGCTTGTTCTATACTCCTCATGACAGGATTTGGATTTAGACACAGCCTTGTAAAATGCTGTTTCATGGTAGGACACGGCAGTACCTATGGTACTGTAGGGAAACCCTAGCACCGGGGAGGTGGGAGGGGCAGATGATCCTGATGGGGTCACCTCAGCCATCCTACCTGCTTCTCTGAGAAAGTAACTGGAGGTCATAAGGTGGTGATGGAGTTGAGGAGAATCACCTACAGTTCTTTAAAACGGCTAGGGTATGCAGTTGGCCAATAGAGTGGATCCCCACAAAGGCGTGAAACTAACACAGCTCCTGTGAAGATAATGTCCCTTAAATTAAGAAAAGTAGGAGAGGCCTGTGACCTCAAATGCCGTCAAAGTAGCATGATGATGTGTGGTACTATTTGTTACATGCAAGGTATTTGTGTTATATATTTGATGCTGGCTTTCATTGCACTGGCATGCTGAGCTTCATCCCTAAAAGATTTAACAAGTTAACCTTGGGACTCAACTCCTTTCTGTGGCCCAGACTTGGGTGAGTGGGATTACTAAACACTCAAGGAGGTCCCATATTTTCTGGCATGATTTCTGCACAGGCTGGGACCTATATGATCAGTCATCGATGAGACAGGACTGAAGGCTGTCTAAAAGTTGTATGTAGCCTTCCAGTGGTCCTGGGCTCTGTGAATAGAAACTGTTTGTCACAAAGGGAAACCTGGCTCTCAGGAGGTAGATGCAGGAGGATTAGGTATTCAAGCTCATCCTTAGCTACAGAATAAGAGCCAGCCTGCGCTATAGAAACACTAGTCTCCAAATCAAGCAACAGACATTGACAATTGCTTTTGTGTGAACATGGACAGGTTTTTGGTTTTGTTTTTTTTTTCTTCTTGTCACTCACTAAGTAGGAGTAACACAGTAGTGGACATTAATACACCAAGTAGGTCACAAGTACCTAGTTTGATTCCCAGAACCAGTGTTGGATAACACACATGCTATGGCTTGCATCTCTAAGCATAACTTTTGGAAAATGGAGACAACTGGATTTCTTTTTTACTCTTGTTTTGTATTTACTGACGTGTGTGTGTGTGTGTGTGCGCGTGCGCACGCGTGTGTGTGTGGTGTCGATGTTTGTGTTTCTGTCTGTCAGGTACGGTAGTGTGTCTATGTGTGACTTTCTGTGTCTATGTCTCTGTGTGTCTCTCTGGGGCTGTGTGGTTGTGTATGTGGTGTCTCTGGTATGTGTTTGTATACGTGTGTCAGTGTGCGTGTGCTTACCTATGTGTGTGTGTGTGTGTGTGTGGTGTCGAAGTGTGTGTTTCTGTCTGTAAGCTACGGTAGTGTGTATGTGTGTGACTTTCGATGTCTATGTCTCTGTGTGTGTCTGTCTGGGGCTGTGTGGTTGTGTCTGTGTGGTGTGTGTCTGTATATGTGTGTCAGTGTATGTTTGTGTGCTTACCTATTTCTGTGTGTGTGTGTTGGGATGCCTTGGTACAGACACATGGAGCTTCCATTGTAGCTTCTGCATCTAAACCAGAATCCTGTCTTCTGGGAAAGCAGGGAGCACTTGGAATCATTGAGTCAAATTGTTGATCAGAAGGGGAATACTGTTCCCTCCCATGTTTTTTTCCCCCTCTGTGTTGCAACAGAAGCAAGATGTGTCAGCACCCAGAGTCTGAGGCCAGAGAAGTGAGATTGAGATCACTCTGCTTGCTTTGGGGAGCTGCCTTTGAACTCTGAATCCTCCTGAGTTGACTTCTGGCATTCTGGGATGAGAGTTGTATACTCCAATGCCTTTGGTGGGCGTGGTTTTTGCTTGGCTTCGTTGTTGCCCTGGTTTTCCCCCCCAACCTTCCCTGTCCCTCCCCCACTCCTCTGAGTAAAGCTTGCTGTATAAAACATACAACTAAGGTGTTAGGCCTGTAGTGTCAGGTTTTTGTGCTTTGGTTTAGTTGGTGCATTGATCTTTGGAGAGTGGCTGAGGCACTGCATGGGCTGGCAGTCTTCTCCATCTTTTTCATCTTTCAGGTCCCTGCACCTTTAGCATCTGTGACACATCTGGTTTCTCTGACTACATCCACGGAGGCATTGTCAGTCAAGTGAAAGTATCTCAGAAGATCAGCTTTGTGAGTAGGTGGGGAAGGGTTGTGGGTAGATGAACTCATGTTTTGGGGATTCCTAGGTGGTTCACATCTGGACTTGATGATCCATTTTCCACAGAAACCACTACTCGCCTCCTTGACAGAACCAGATTTTGTGGTAGCAGATTTTGCTAAGTGTCGTCACCCTGCTCAGCTGCACATTGGTTTCCAGGCCCTGCATCATTTCTCTACTGAACATGGCAGGCTTCCTCGGCCCCATAATGAGGTAAATGTGTAGAAAGCCAGCCAGACACCGTGGCGTGTAGTGCCTAGTCTCCCTGCAGTAGGGTATGATAGATACTCTCTTGGTTCCTTGTATCCAACCAGGAGGATGCAGCAGAAATGGTGACCTTAGCACAAGCTGTGAACACTCGAGCATCGCCAACAGTTCAGCAGGATTGCTTGGACATAGACCTCATGCGGAAGCTGGCACATGTGGCTGCTGGGGATCTGGCACCCGTGAATGCCTTCATTGGTGGTTTGGCTGCCCTGGAGGTCATGAAGGTCAGCAGGAGTGGGGAAGGTGCTGTGCCTTGCTGAAACCATCTCTGCCCCTTAGTTGCAGTGGCTGCTGACAAGGCTCTTTTCCCAGGCTTGTTCTGGGAAGTTCATGCCCGTTAAGCAGTGGCTGTACTTTGATGCCCTTGAATGTCTCCCTGAGCACAAAGTGGCTTTCATGGAAGATAAGTGCCTGCCGGTAGGTCAGTGGGAACAGTGGGACTTTGGGAACGTCTTGAGGGGAGCCTCTGTCTAACCTGCCTTTGTTCTCGTAAATCTAGCGCCAGAACCGTTATGATGGGCAAGTGGCTGTATTTGGATCTGACTTCCAAGAGAAGCTTGGCAAGCAGAAGTACTTCCTGGTGATTGACACTAATGGATTCTCTCTCCCTCTCTCTGTTTCTGTCTTTCTTACTGTTGTTCCCTCTCTGACACTCTCAAACACCCCCCCCCCGTCTCTCTCCCTATCCCCACGCACTCTCTCCCCCTCTCTCCCACATCCTTTTGAGGAGGGAGGGGTCTTTTGGTTTTGGTATCCTGGTCACATCACCATGTTGAGGATATGCCTGTGCATCTCTGTTTTTCCTTTGTTTCCTCCTCCCTCAGTCACCCATAGGATTTTCCAGCCCTGTGACTTTGTGGTGTTACGTGGTGTTACGTGTGCTTTCACGTGGGCACTCACTGTTACTGATTAGACTGTGTGCCTACTTCCAGGTAGGTGCGGGTGCCATCGGCTGTGAGCTGCTCAAGAACTTTGCCATGATTGGCCTTGGCTGTGGGGAAGATGGAGAAATCAAAGTTACAGACATGGACACCATTGATAAATCAAATCTGAACCGACAGTTTCTCTTCCGACCCTGGGATGTCACAGTGAGTACCATGGGGTGGCTTTCTCTTTGCTTTGGTACTAACCTAATGACCTTTATGTTTCAGCTTTCTGTGTCCTACATTCGTTCCTACATTTCAGTCATTCAGGTGTGAGATCAGTAGACGTTATTACCTGTCACATTGTTTCATTGGCCTGGTTTTCCCTCTTAGCAATCTCAAGATTGATGCCTGTTTATTTCAGATGTGACCTTGCGAGATGGGGTAATACAAGCATACCTGGGAATTGTCTAAAGGTCGGTGTTCCCTTGACTCGCTGCTCATAATGCGCTTCTCCCTAGCTTCATTTTACACTGTGCATTCTAGACCCTGGATTTAGAAAACAGAAGGTAACAAAAGAAATGTTCCTGGCCCCATGTAATGGGTGTAGTGCAACAACAAGAGAAATGTTCCTGTCCTTCTCTAATACGGTACAAGGGAGCAGTTTCCTGAAGCCTCTTGATGTCCTCTTCCTGTAACACGTGTACCGACTCTGCAAACCCAGTAATATCTTAAATGATCTTAGATACTATTTGTCTTTCCTTACCCAGATTGCTCCATCAGTGGAAAGGAGAAATTTCTTCCATACTTGTGGGATGCCTTTCCTAGTTCTGTGAAGGAATTTTCCAGAGATGATTGGGTTGTGATGACATACATACGTATGTAAATGATAAGGTCAGACAGGGCAGGCTTTGTGGCACTTGCCTCTAGGTAGACTTCCATCATGGGGAGACCGATACCTCTGAGGTTATGACCAGCCTGGACCACAGGACAAACACAGTAAGCAAAAGCTAGCCTGGCATGGCACAGGTACCGAATGTACAGCAAAATAGAACTTAAAAAATAATAACCTCAGGAGATGAATAATGTTCTATGTTTGTAGATCCCCTTCATAGTCTTTAAAGTAATAGAAAACGGATTTAGGACTTTAGGAATGCCATGGACATAAAACTACATCTGTTGTCAGGTAGTATGTACACGAATTTTACAAATACACAGATTTGTAAAAATCTGATGTGGTGTGACTCCTCAGGGAAATTGTGTGTTAGAAACATTATTCATGATAAATGCTTCCTATTTATCTTGACATCCTGTGCTAAATGGACTCATGCTTTAAATAGTCTGCTTGAAGTTCTAACATGGTGCCCAAAGCTCGTCGTTTGAAGAATGTTCTTAGCACATGTTTGACTACTGTTGTAGTGAGTGAGTACATGGATGGGGACTATGGTTAATATTAGAATGTCAAATGTGTAAGAGAAGTAACAATTGGGAATGTCAGAGGGGGCTGGTTTTCAGGGCTTATGAAGACTTCCCCCCCCAGGGAAATTGGCATTCCAGGAATGAAAGGGGTATGTGGACGAACACGTAACCACGCAAAAAAGTAGTGGAAGCCTGAAAGAGGTATGAATGGGGCTGTGTGATGTTAAAGAATAGAGAGTCCAGGCAGATGAGGTCACAATCGGTTTATACCGTAAATGAAGTGGGACCAGAGGAGGATTTTGAGCAGTGGTATGTGACTCAGACTTTCAAAGAACCTTCTTGTCTGTGGTTTTAGTTAGGTTATTCTGGATGTAGTTAACTGAAAAAACCAGTAGGTGTTAGGCCATTCTGACCCCTTGCTTCTTCTTTCAGTTTTTCTTTCTACTCACCTTTAGAATTTGAATGTGCTTACACACTAAAATGTAAACACCACCAGCAACATACCCACGTACACACACACACACTCACTCACTCATTTATGATCTAAGAAAATACCAACTTCAGGAGACTCAAAATAGCCTGTATCCAAATTTCTTTTATAATTCTTAAAGCACAAGAAAACAGAGACTCACTCCTGTGGATAATAGGAATACTTAGTGCTGTCATAAAAGAGCATTCTTTGGTCCCTAACCTCCTTTACAGTATCCCCCTCCCCCCACAGGTGGTATTTACATAATTGGAGCCTGCTTCTCATTGAGCCTTGTTTTGCTCTTCATGAGATAGATGTCTCCCCAGATCTCTCGATGGAGTTGTTGTGTGTCAGTGCACGGGAAACAGCTGTGTTCTCCATATTTCTACACAGAAATTAAAATCTGAGACTGCTGCTGCTGCGGTGCGTAACATAAATCCACATATCAGGGTGTTGAGCCACCAGAATCGAGTGGGCCCAGAGACAGAACACATCTACTGTGTGTGTGTGTGTGTGTGTGTGTGTGTGTGTGTGTGTGTGTGTTAGTGTGAGTGAACACGCATGTGCTTGTGTGTTTTATGATGTTCTTGTGTTCCTGTGTTTACTCTACATTCCTGCTGCTCACCTGTCAATTCCCCCCACATCTCCCTGAAGGTTTATACATGGACCGCCATTGTGTGTACTACCATAAGCCTCTGCTGGAGTCAGGCACAGTGGGCACCAAGGGCAACGTGCAGGTGGTTGTTCCCTTCTTGACAGAATCCTACAGCTCTAGCCAGGACCCACCTGAGAAATCCATCCCCATCTGCACACTGAAGAACTTCCCCAGTGCCATTGAGCACACCCTGCAGGTGATCAACCTTGGGAGGAATGGGAGGCAGAAGGGTTGGTTAGTCAACAGGTCACCAAGCCTCTGCCCTTCCCAGCCTCCAAATTCCCGTTTGCTCTGTGCTGTGTGCTGTGTGCTGTGTGCTGTGTGCTGTGTGCTGTGTGCTTGTCATTTCATTCTGTGAACTTAGGTGAATCCCTTTTCCCCCCAGATCCATTGTCTTCATCTTACCCTGTTGAACAACAATGCCTGTTGAACAACTTCTCCTGGCGTCCACCCCCTCACTGGCCCTGAAAACCTTTGTCTGCTTTTTGTTTCTTTTGTTTGACCACCAGCTGTACCCTATTCGTTGAGCCATAGAGGTTGAGTAACTATGCCTGATTTTTCTGTAGCAAATCTGTCTTACTCAGTGTCATGGCTATGCATTGATAGACACCTGCAATTTCCTCTCTTTTGACCTTAGTAGTGTGTAGGTGTGTTCATCTGTTGAAGGATAATTTCTTTGCTTGTGTCCTTTATCTCTTATGGATATGCTACCTCCTTTCGAGTGTGTGTGTGTGTGTGTGTGTGTGCGCGTGTGCGTGCGTGCGTGTGTGTTCATCTTTGTTACTGGGGTTCTCCAAGTCTTCCTGGACTTGTTTGTATTTTTTAACCCCATGTATGTGTTTCCTTTTCCAGGGGACAAGAAAAGTGTTTTCTCTTGTCTCTTCTGGTCTTCCCTCACAACTTCCGGCATGCCTCTCCTTTTCAAACACCTAAGTGAACACCACCCTTCCACTCCTGATTTCACCTTGGGCAAGTGCTACGGGTTCACCAGATTCAATGGTGTTCCTTCACTTTTCAGAGTACAGCCACCTGGAGGAACTCAAGACTTCACTTCCTCCTCAAGACAAACTCGTTGGATTCAAGATGTACCCCATTGAGTTTGAGAAGGTATTTGGTGGGTTTCACAGGATGGTTAGTGTGATGGGCACAGAGGCCTTTGTCAATGCTGGGGGCCTAGAGTGGCGTCCATCTGTTTCATGGAGAAGTTTCTTTGATGAAGGGTGAGAGCTACATCTGTGGGTATTTTAGAATCAATCCCCAGAGTGCAGTTAGGAATGAGGCTGGTGAGGTAAAGAGGTACTAGCAGCTTCTTTAAGATGGCTTAGGGGCCCAGTACTTGGCTTGATTTCCACAAACCACCAATGGTTCCTTTCAGTATGTTCAGTGGATACATCTCCAAACAACTGCCCCACCTAAGACTCAGGAAGGGGAGGGGGCGGGTGAAAGGAATATAAGATCCAGAGGATAAAGATAACTGCTGCTTTGAGAGCCTGTCACCTTGACGTGACAGTATACACTAGGGCTTCCTAAACAAGACCCGAACGGAGATGGCACCAAGAGACATTTTCCTGTTCAAAACAACTTTTACATTTAAATATATTTTGATCATATTCTTCCCTTTGCAGTTCATCAACCCCTCCTTCCCCACCCAGCTTTTAAGTTCATCCTCAAAAAGCAAAAATGCAGTACGACAACAAAACCCCCAAAACAACAAACCCCACCAAACTGCAAGGAATTAAAAGCACTCACACACATGCTACCTGTTTAGTCCATTATGTGCTGTTCAACTCCTCCTGAACATTATACCTGCCTTGAAGTAGTTGTTAACACTCGGTTGGAGAAAACTGATTTTCCCTCTCTGGGAAGGTACAAATATCTGTTCACTTCATTGCCTTTACCTAATGACATTACTCTTGTACATCATTTATTTTAAGTGTGTGTGCGTGTGCGTGTGTGTGTGTGTGTACATGTGTACTAATAGCAGAATAATATTAAACAAAAACTGTCCAGCAGAAGGCAAATTTAGCTCATGAGAAGGGACATGAGTCAGAGACCCACCCACATGTTTGCACATTCATGAATTCCATCAAAAACACTGATGTGGAAACCATAAGAACTTTGCTTGTGTTGACTTAGAGGGCCTTGTTTGTTTTGATTCGCCAACGCCTCTGAGGCTTGCACTCTTTCTGCCTCCTCTTCCTCAAGGTGTCCTGAGGTCTGAGAAGTGGAACTTCATGGGTCCATCCCATTTAGGGATAAGTGTTCCAAGGTCTCCCACCCTCTGCATAATGTCTGGCCGTGGGTGGATGTCTATAACCCATCTGTCACAGAGGGAAGCCTCTCTGATGCTGGTTGAATAAGACGCTGATCCATGTCGATTAGGGGTCATGATTTCCTTCTTTGCTTTTAGACCAGTATGTGCTTTCACACTGGGTCCCTAGCTAGTCTCAGGTTCTTGATCAGACAGCCAAGCATGGTCTGGTATGGGTTCCTTCTCATGGTGTAGGCCTTACAATCAAATCAGTTACTGGTTGGTTACTCCCGCAAACTTTGTCCCACAGTTTCCCTACAGTATATTGCAGACAGGACGCAATTGTAGATAAACTGTGGTTAGCTTGGTGTTTATCTTCTCTGGAGAGAGTGCAAATAACACACACACACACAGAATGAGAGAGAGAGAGAGGAAAGAGAGAGGTACACACATGTATATATGAACATCCACATATGAATGTATATATGTGTAGGTGTGTAGATGTGAGTATGAGTTTTAGGTTTTTATATACCCTTTTTACATCACCTTACTTTGAGCTGTCTCCCCATAGTCTCCCTTCATTTTTCTTATATGGAGAATCACATTTATTAATTTTTGTATATAGAACATTCCTGCACTTCTGGAATAGAGCCTACCTGATCATGGTGGATGGTCTTTTTGAAGTGTTCTTGGTTTAGGTTTGCAGTTTTATTGAGTATATTTGCATGGTTGTTAAGTATTTTTCATTCACATTCAAAAGGGGACTTGGTCTTTCTTTGGCATGTATGTGGTCTGGTTAGCAGGGTAGCTGCGGTCTCACAGGTGAGTTCTGCAGTAGAGCTCTGTATCTACTCTTTTAAATAGTTTTTCAGGTATTGGCATTCAGTATCCTTTGAATGCCTGATAGAATTACATGCTAAAATTATCTGAACCTGGCCTTTCTTTGGTTGGGAGACTATCATGATTTCTCTCCCACTGTAGATTATAAGTCTTTTTAACTAGATTGTCTGTTCTTGTTTTAACTTTGGTAAGTTAAGTGTGAAGAAAATTATCCTTTTGCTTAGGTTTTCCAATTAGGTGGACCACACATGTTCCTAAAAGTGTGTTTTTAAGCCAGGAAGTGGTGGTGCATGCTTTTATTCCCAGCACTTGGAAGGCAGGGCCAGGATGAGCTCAGTGAGTTCGATGCCGTCCTGGTCTACAAAGCAAGTTCCACGACAGCCAGGCTTACACAGAGAAACCTTGTCAGGAAAGAGCAAAAAGTAAAATTAAAAAGAAGAAAGAAAGAAAAGTATGTTCTTTCTTAAGATGCTTTGAATTTCCTGCCTGTTGTCTTCTTTTCATCCTTTATCTTTTTTGTGAAAAGTTTGTTAATATGAACTGACTTTATTAAAGAACGTACTGTGTTTCATTGTGTTGTTTGTTTGTTTTTTTTTCTCTTTTATTGATTCCAGTCCCAATTTTATTTCTTGCTGTCTACTCCTGTTGGGTGTGACTCCCTCATTTTTTTTTCTAGAGCTTTTGTGTGTGCTGTTAAGTTGCTAATTGGAGATTTCTGGGTTCTCATCCATAGGCCTTTAGTGCCTACTAACTTTGCTCTTTGTACCACCCTCAGTGTGCCCTTGAAATTGGCTACGTTGTGTATCCATGACCATTCAGTTCTAGGAAGTGTTTCATTTCTAATTTCTGTCTAGACCCTTTTGTCATTCCGGTAGAGAGTTGTTCATTTTCCATGAGTTTGTAAGTTTTCTATTGTTGACCTCCAGCTTTAATCTGGTGTGATTTCATGTTTGGTACCTGTTGGGATTTCTGTGTTGATCATGTAACATGATCAGTTTTTCACACACCATGGGGTGCTGATAAGAAGGTGTGGTCTTTTATGTTTGGGAGAGATGTTTTATATATTTATTTAATGTTTATAAGTATATATCTGTTAGACCCCTTTGTTTTGTTTATAAACACAGCGCCTCCATTTTTCTCTTTGTTGTTTTCCTGGATGGCTTGTCTGTTGTTGAATCTGGGATACAGAAGTCTCCCACTATCTGTTTGTATGGATCAGTGTGTGCTCTCAGCTGTAGTAGTGGTAGTGTTTCTTATGAAGTTGGGTGCCAGTGTATTTGGGGCATAGACATTTAGGCTTGAAATGTCCTCTTGTTTGGCTCCTTTTTCCTTTGATGCAAACATAGTGTCCTTCCATCTCGTCTATTAGTTTAGTGTGAAGTCTGTTTTGTCAGACATTAACATAGCTACACTAGCTTGTTTCACGGTTCCATGTGCTTGGAATATCTATCTACACCTTAATACCTTGAGGGGATGTGTAAACTTCCCAGGTATTTCTTGCATGGAAGAGAGAGGTGGATTCTGTTTTCACGTCCCAAAGTCCATTGTTAGCGTGTGTGTGTCTTCTATTTAAGTATGTTAGACTACGTATTGAGCAATATCAATGACCAGTAAAATTTTGTCTTGGTGGTGGTGGCAGAGGGAGGTATTGGTGATAGAGGTGGGTGGTAACGGTGGGTGGTGGTGGTAGGTGATGGGGTGTGTCTGTGCCTGTGCCTGTGTGTGCGTGTGTGTGTGTGGCATGTGCCTGCATGCATGCATGCTTTCATGTGAGCAGGCACCACCGGTGCCTCTCTCCTTCCCTTCTATGATTTTCTGATCTCGGGATGTTCACTCCCTGCGTTTTCATGGTTGTGGTTAAACTGTTTAGGTCGCAGTTGTCCTGTCACTTTTTGCAGGGCTGCATTTCTGGATAGCTGTTGCTTAAATATGTTTTCCATAGGGAGTATCTTATTTTCTCCATCTATGGTAAATGAAACTTTTTCTGGGTACATTAATCTGGGCTGGCATGTGTAGTCTCTTACAAGTATATATAGTCTGTCATCTGTCCATCCCAAATTGTTCTCTGAGAAGGTGATTGCAATTCCATTATTCTGCTTCGTCACTTGTCCTTTATCCCTTGCAGCTTTTTAACATCCTTTCTCAGTTCTTCATATTTAGTGCTTTATGTGGTGTGAGGACTCTGGTTTTTCTGGTCGAGTCTTTTTGGTATTTGTTGTGTGTTGTCGTACCTTTATAGGCATCTCCTTTAGGATAGAACAATGTTGTCCTATTGTTTTGTTGGAAACACTTTCTGCGCCTTTGACCTCTGATTTTTCCAACACCTCTATCCTATTATTCTTAGGTGTCCCTGATTTCCTGGATACCTCAGGGCAGGTGTGGATTTTTAGAGTTAGCGTAGTCTTTGACAGAAAGTTTCCATGTCTTCTATGTTATCTTCAACCCCTGAGATTCTCTCTTGCGTCTCCTGTGCTCTGTTAGTGAAACTTCCCTCTGTAGTTCCTCTTCAGGGTCCCAGATTTTTCATCTCCAGATTTCCCTCAGTTTGGGTTTTCTCTATTGATTATTTCTCCTTTGGGTCCTTGCCTGTTTTGTTCATTTCCTTCCACGATCTGTTTGTGTTTCCAGAGGTTACTTTAAGAGATATTTACTAATTTTATCTTGAAGGTCCGCTGTCGTATCTGTCAAGGCTGCTTTATGGTATTTTACTTGTGTTTCAGCCGTGTTGGGACCGCTGTGTTTGGGTTGCTGGGCTCTTGTGGAGACATAGTGCCCTTGCTGTTGTTGATAATGTTTTATGACATCTTGGTATCTGTTGGTGGGGAGGTTGTAATTCTAGGTGCTGAAACCTGCTCTTGTCCTTGTTGGGATGAGCAATTACTTCCTAGGTGTCTGTTCTCGCTCTGCTATTTAGGAGGGTATGGTGGCTGCACATTGCTTGTAGGAAAATCCTCTGGGGTACTGACAAGTGTGGGGACTGGGGTTTGCAGGTAAATAGTGTTGCTTGCTGTTGGGACCTGAGACCTAGGAATTGGAGTAGGCTTGGGATGGTGGGAGGGCTTCTCAAAAGGGAGGGAAGTTAGGTGTTTCACCAGAATCTCATTGCTTATTACCTTTGTTAGGGGGCTGGGGGTGAGAAAGGGGCACTGACCTTGGAAGAGCTGACTTGGAAGGGATGATGTGGAAGTAGCTTACCTGGATCCCTGCTGGGCAGGGCATGCCTGTGGGTTCCCAGGGAGTGCCTCCTGAATTGCAGGGTTGAACAAAGCAACTAGTAGGTTGGAGACTATGGAGGGAAGATCTGTGGAATCTTAACAGAGATGAAGTGGCAGGAGAGGGTGCCACATGTGATCTGCTGCAGAACTAGGAATGAGACTGGCAGATTTGGTTCGGTAGAGCTGAGGGAGATTGGGGGTTTGGACTTGGAAGAATTCAGAGAGAGATGAGGATGTGGTTTAAGTTACACCACATGTTTTCCAGACCAGAGTGTCCTGCATTATCCAGGGAATCCTGAAGTATAGGGCTGAGATAAGCACAAGACAGAGACAGTGGGGTGGGGGGGATAGGGGGAGGGGAGAGAGAGAGAGAAAGAGAGTAAGCATGGGAGGGAGGGTGGGAGAGGGAGAGAGAGAAAGGAAAACAAGTGACAAGTGTAGGTGTGTTAAGAGGAAAAGCTCTGTGGGATCCACAAGAGATGAGGTCTGGGGTGGGGAGCCTGCTTCACCCATTCTGCTGTGAAGATGATAGTGGGCGACTGGACTCCCACGAGGAAGAGAATGAAAGGGGAAGGTCTACAGTACTATACCTGGTTCCCGGCAGGGCAGGAGTGGCCTGGGAGTTCTCAGGGAGTTGCCTAATAGGAAGGGAGGTGTCTCATGGAATCCAGCCCAGGGACAAAAAAGTAGAGGCAAAGAAGGGAGTCTGAGAGCAGGAGAAGTATTCCTCCCGAGTCTTCTAATTGCTTATTGTGTACAAAGTTGTCAGCCCTGCAGTCATGGATCACATGTAATGATCACAGACTTAGCAAGCTCTGTTTATATATTTAGGGGTATTATTTAAAAGTAACCTGGAAGGAGCCATGCTTTTTCAAGAGAAGAAGCAGGGCTTAGAGGATTTGGGAGTGATTTGAATGAGGAAAGGAGAGAGAGAAATGGCATAATTACATTTGGCTTATTAAAAAAGCAATTTCATGATAATTACAAAAAGGCCCTTAGGCCTTCAGTACATCATGTAGTCACCGGTGTTCTGGGGAGAAATTTGTGTCCTGCAGAGATGTTCACCTTAGTTCTCTACTGAAAACAAGGATGATGACAGCAACTTCCACATGGATTTCATCGTGGCAGCATCCAACCTGCGGGCAGAAAACTACGGCATTTCCCCGGCAGACCGGCATAAGGTCAAAGGAGTTTTACCTACCGTTGACCCTTGCCCAGGGTGTTTTCCTTTGGGTCTTTGGTAGGCCCCTAACACCTCTTACTCAGTAATCCCTGTTTTCACTGTCTGTCTTACAGAGCAAGCTGATTGCAGGGAAGATCATCCCAACCATTGCAACCACCACAGCAGCTGTAGTCGGGCTTGTGTGTTTGGAGCTGTACAAGGTGGTTCAGGGACACCAACAACTGGAGTCTTACAAAAACAGTTTTATCAACTTGGCTTTGCCTTTCTTTAGCTTTTCGGCACCCCTGGCTCCAACCTGTCACCAGGTATGGTGCCAAAAAGTATAGGTAATGTTGGTGTTGCCGTTTAGAAGAGCTGGCAGCATGGGTTCATTGTGAGTCCTGTCTGTCTTCACTAAATCAAACATTTAATGCTGAGGTTGGGGGAAGGAGACAGCTGGGTCTTTGTGGTGGGTGTCCTTTTCGTTGCAAAGATTCCAGCTGCTGACTGACTGATCATGCTCAGTTCAGGCCACAGGAGTGTTGTTGACAAAAGGGCTGTGGTTAATACATGCTAAGAAGAACATTTGGGGTGGGGGTAGCCCCTCTCTTAGCACTTGTCTTGTCCTCCAGTACTATGATCAGGAGTGGACATTGTGGGATCGCTTTGACGTACAGGCACTACAACCTGGCGGCAAGGAGATGACCCTCAAGCAGTTTCTAGACTACTTTAAGGTAGGGAACTTTCCTCCTGGAACTCCCTGTGTGTGGGGAGTTGTTCATTTGCTTTAGCACTGTCCATCTCACAGTCACCACCCCCTTCCGTCTGAACCCCTGCAGACAAAGCACAGGCTGGAGATCACCATGCTGTCCCACGGTGTGTCCATGCTCTATTCCTTCTTTATGCCACCCCCCAAGCTCAAGGAACGGTTGGATCAGCCGTGAGTTAGCCTCTCTGGGCTGGTGGGAGTGGAAGCCTCCTGGGGGATTCTCGGCATCCCACTGAGTGTGCTACTCACACAGTTCACTTTCTTTCGCTGTAATGTGCCTCCTCCCTTCCCTTCATATTTGCTGTCTTCCCTCTTAACTCTGTGTTCCCTGGCTTCAGGATGACAGGGATTGTGAGCCGTGTGTCAAAGCGAAACCTGGGCCATCATGTGAGGACCCTTGTGTTTGAGCTGTGCTGCAACAACGAGAGTGGAGAGGACGTCGATGTTCCCTATGTACGATACATCATCCGCTGACCTCTTACTGACTCTTGTCTTTCAGTTGTGTTAGCCTGTGTCAGAACCCTTCTAAGGTGTGAAGACACCTGAGTCCAGACTTGCTTGTTTCTAGAATTTTTCATACCGCTCTTCACATGGTTTGGCACTGGAATTCACAGTAATAAAATTTTCAGTCTATAAGCAGTGTGTCTTCCTCTCCTGTCAAGGGTGGGAATGCTGTAATCCCGGTGAAGAAGTGGAAGCCTTAATCTAAGATGAGTAGGTTACAGGGACAAAAAGTCCAGCAGCGCAGAAGCAGCATGCACGGTGTCCAGTATTCAAATACAATACCGAAGATGAAACGTCCACTCCTGTCATACACTTGTGTTATGCCGACTTTCCCCTTGTTGTGTCTGCTTGGGGAGAACTCACTGTGGTGGCTGCCTGTCCACAGTGAGGTCAGCCCTTTCTTTCTCCAGCCTCGCATCTGTCATAGTGATGTTCAGACGAAGCACAGACCCCAGTTCCGGCTGCTGTGGGTTGGGATCCTCTGTCTTACCTTCATCCTGCCCCTTGATTGTGTGTCCCCTGCCAATTGCTCATCTGAAATAAGGGGATGAAAGGTGGTTATTAGGGATAAAGCCCGAAAGTTGATTGCTACTTCACGTGTGTAGTATTATTGAGTATGTATCTACCTGCCTGTGTTTTTTTGGATTTGCTATTTGCACTAATCTACCTCTTTCAGTTGGGACAGCTCTTTACATTTAGGAGAATTGTCAGGTCTCGGATGCCCTCCCTGTAACACCCATTCACGCCCCCGAACCCGGGCACATAACCTTTTTGCTCCTTGAGTCAGAACTGTATTTGCGTGCATTTTGCCATTAATCTCTCTGTGACTTGAGGGTTTCTTGAGTTGAAAATGTTTGATGCTTTGCTAGTCGCCACTTTTGTGAAAAGTGTTCATTCCTGAGACGACGTGATTTCAGGTACCTTGTTTCCTCATGTGTATATTGCATTCCTGTTTCTTCTGCAGTGCCGGCGTCCCGTGTCTGAATGACTGTTGTCTGTATTTGACTTGGAACGTGCTATGAAGAGTTACATTGATTGAAAGACAGCATTGCGCAGTATAGTTATGTGGTTGGCAGGTGTAGCCTCTTGGAGCATCTTTTCTAAGCCCTTGGAGGTCTGAAGTAATTCTGGAGAAAATACCTTTGTGAATAAGTCAAGGGTCACTTTTCCTCTGACAGCGTTGAATACTCTTTGTCCAGTAGTGTCTGCATTTTTCATTTTTAATTAAAATGTCTCCCTATGATACATTTTGGTCTTTTCCACCCCCCACCCCCACCCCTCCGAAACTCTTCCTCAGCCCGTAACTTCTCAAACAGTTACTGCCTTGTGAGATAATAGTATTTTTTTTTCATTTCCTTACCCCTTCCATTGCCTCCCCCTTAATATTCCAATAAATTCCTCCTTGCCCTTTGAAGTTCATGGCTGCTTTTCCTCCCATTAAATTCTATTATATACACACACACACACACACACACACACACGTGTGTATCTACATCTATTTCCTAAAAAGGAAGTGCTTGCTCACTGTAATGTCATTTGCATGTATGTCTCCTGGGCTGCACCATTTAGTATTGGATAAACAAATCGGTGTGCTTCTCCCTGGGGTGGTCCGTCTCCCCCATTCCCAAGGGGCATATAGATCCTCTAGGGCTAAGGACTCTTCCAGTCCACATTAGTGTGGTTGTTATTCCTGTTCATCCTTGTTGCGCTCATGTTTAGGCACTCTGATTGGTAAGCTTTTGCCATTCCAAGCAGGACACATTGTCACAGCAGACCTCTGTCTCTTGGGAATCTTTCTTCCCCCTCTTTTGTAGTGGTTTTGAGCCTAGGTACAGGATTTGTGTTTGTAGTTATGTCCATTGGCCCCAGGCTCCACAACTGTTTGCATTCTGATTGGGTGTCCTTTTTAGTAAGGTCTCTTACCTGTTGCAGAGGGCTTTCTGTGATCAACTTCTCTGTGGGTTTAGGGATTATGCTGTAGGCATTATTCGGGTTTGGAAAAGTGGTGGCTGAACATTCCTCTCAGAGATCTGTGACTTCCTTAGATCTTGGTCTCATTAGCTAGGTTTCCGGACCTGGCGTTTTAAACCTAATGGGACCAGAAGGAACTTTTTGGTCATGTCTATTTTGACTTCCAAATGTCTTCTGTATTTCCATGTGCACACATTTCCCTGGATTTGGGGAGTTTGGGGATATGATTCCACTGAACATGTTTGTTTCTTCTCCTGTGCTTGTTGTCTCCTGGTTCTAGTACTTGGATAATTTTGTTAGATTAGAGACAATCTTATTTTACCTGTCAATCCCAGTTCCTTCTCTGTCCCATCCTCCCATGTCCCCCAATGACCCCAATGATCTTTCTGCTTCCATGGGCGACCCAGAGAAAACTCTCTGATCTTAGACACAAGGGAGAGGGTCTAGGCCCTGCCCCAAATGATGTACCACATGGATTCTTAAATGTTCTTTCATTTTATCCCAGAGTTGTTGAAAGTTGTGGTAATACTTGCTGTTTTTTCCATTTGGTATCTTCAGCCCATCTCCACTCCCTGATAATTCATTTCTTTCTGGTTGATTTAGCTGACTGATGATGCTTGCCCTGAGTGTTTGACTTCTTGACCTGTTCTTCTATTCTATGGTTTCCTTCTTTCTCCTTTGTTTTCTTTTCCTCCAGGAGCTGAACTTTTATGGGATTCTTGAATGGTTTTCTACTCGGCTTTTCTTTCTTGTTATTTTGTTGGTTATATATATATATATATATATATATATATATATATATATATATATATATACATTTTTACTGTGCAGTTCTGTTTTGGCGAATCGTCTGTGTGTCATGGATCATTTTAGAAAGTAACTTTAACTCTTTGTCGTTTCAACCATTTCGTTATGATTAAGTTGACTAATGAAGTCTTTCAGACTTTTAGAGGAGTCATCTTGTATGTCTAGTCACATATATGTGTTTTTTAAGTTACAAGATGAATACAACTGTCCTCTGAGTATATTTCCTACTTTTGTATCGCTGCACTGGGGGCTGTTGTAAGCTTTTCTTCAAGTCACTGTACACAGAAGAACCAGGACTGAGGATAGGTGCAACAAAAGAAAACAGGCCAGATACTTCTTTATACCACACAAACATGACCTATACCCTCAGTACTGTAGCAAAGAAAGGAACTAGTGTGCAAGGATAACAGGCTAGGAATTTCAGAATTATTAAGCCAAGATTATAATAGCAAAACAATAAGCAATATTAATGCAATAACAGAGAACTAGAGAGGAACTAAAGTAAAACACACACACACACACACTAAGGGATGGGATTGAGACAAACCTTAATTCTAACACTGGGTGGCAGAGGCAGGGAGATCTCTGAGTTCACTGGTCTACATAGTTCTAGAACTCCCAGTGCAACATAGAGAAACTGTTGTCTTAAGAACAAAGAAAAATACACAGAGCATTAGTTATTACTAAAAATAAAATAAAGGAAACACTGGTTGTCAGGATGCCTCAGCTAAAATAGCATGAGAGGAAACTGTTGTTGCAGACAACTTACAAGAAAACACGTGCAGACACAAACACGCACACAGGCACGTACACATGCAAGTGTGGACGCACACACCAGGGTCTTCTCTCCCTGACCCCATATTGGACACAAAGCACTTTTTTCACCACGATGGGATCCTTTAATACCCTGGTTAGAGAAGTTAAAGTGTCTAATTTCTGACTGGGGCTGCAAACAGCAGCAGAAGAGCTTGCAGATCTTATTTGTAAGAAAAGAAACAAGGTCTGTGTTAGAATGGGCTAGGACGTTTGGTGTATTTTAATTGGGTATGTTAATTAGGGGAGCCAAAGAGGGCCTGTGATTGTTGAAGGAAAATACTTTGACTAGGTAGTCAGCTCAGGAGGAGAATGTGGCCAACTCTAGGAAGAGTTGGTGGCTAGGAATGTAATCTAAATGATTTAACCAGGCAGAGGAATTGGGGATAGAGGGTCCAGCAGAAAGGCAAGGCCCTGCCTGCCAGAGCCCCAAGCTCCAGTGGGCTCCCTTCATTCCCATCTGTTTGGTTTATGTCTGAGTACTGGGGTTTGGGGAAGTGGCTGCTGTTCCCTCTGGCTGCCTCCAGTTAACTAACATTGGAGCATTGCTGTTAGGGACCGGAGGAAGCTGAGTTGTTGGTCAAGGCCTGGAAGCAGAGGCTGTGTCTGTCAATGACCAGGTTGTATGGGAACATCTGAAGCTAGGGAAGTCTGTGAGGCTGGGTCAGGATGTCAGGAATTAGATTCCCTGGGAAAAGCTGAGGCTGGCTCTGGGTTGCTGAAGCAGTCTCATGATTTGAAATCAGTTGTGCAGATAGAAGAGGGACAGGGGTGAAGTTTAGCATTTTAGGGAGAAAATTTATTCTTTCTTTCTTTCTTTCTTTCTTTCTTTCTTTCATCTTGGATGTGCATGAGAAATAGTTTCTTATTGCTAGGGCTTGGGAAGAGGAGTTCCAAGACCAGGGAAAGAGGGAGAAACCCCAACCTAAGGAATAGGCAGTAGGAAGGAAAGCTCATTGTGTTGGTTGATGGAAATGTGTTTGGAGTTCTGGAGAAGAGCTAACCACATGCTGGAGTGGGCTATTATCCCCTCAGAACCTAGGTTTGATGGCTACTTGCCTTTGTCTTGCCACTTCCCTACAAGTGTATGCTTTTTTAAGGTGTCCTCCTATGATCCGCAACTAATCATCTTTTGAGTTACTCTTCAACTAGTTGCCCCCATTGTATGGATTGTGTATGGTCCAAAACACACAACACAAAGGCTAACAAGCGGGAAATGGCCGTGAAGGGGGAAACACAATGAATAGGAAAAATGGCTAGGGCTGTGGCTTTTTTCCTAAACTGTTTCCACACCAGTGTGAAGACTAGTTCAGATCTCTAGGATCCACAAATGCCAGCTTCCTGATTCCAGCACCTGGATGTTGGATATGGGGCACCTTAGGGACAAGCTGGATAGCT